TGCTAAAAATAATTATAACACTAAAATAACATCAGAAAAGAATACCTTTGAATAATTTACGTGAAAGTTTTGAATTATTTATAGAAGGGAATAAAGGAATAATTATTTCTCGTTCATCGTTTTCAAGAGAAAGTTATTGATAATGTTGTTGTAAATGGACCAACTAGAATTAAATAGTGGCAATGGGTCAATTTAAATGTACATGTAGAAAAAAGGAAGTTGAAGGATCAGTTAATGAAGTTGTTGACTTGTTGAAATCCAAAGTTAAATATTTTCTATTCAATTAATAATTCAAAACTTTCACATAAATTATTCAAAGGTATTCTTTTCTGATGTTATTTTAGTGTTATAATTATTTTTAGCAACAATAGTATCACGTTTACCAGGTAATTGATAAGAAATATCGTCCCTTAAATAAAACTTGTGTACAGCATTTTTAATCTGATCAGATATATTAGCACATGTACGTTGTTGAACAGGTTTTGAAACAAGATTATATTTTTGAGCTAGATGTTGAATCGTAATTGAATTAAATAATCTCGTAAATAATCCTGTTTACCTTGTAGCATTATACGATATTTCCTTCACGAGATAGAAGTCTCACCAGTTCTTAAGTATGTTAGGGCCTAGACGAAACGCCCCAGCTTAAGAAAAATGAATATCTTTTGAAGGAAAGGTGGTGTAACTACTGTGGGACTCGGCTTCCTGACTAGTTTTTGGTAAACTTTTAAACTTTTAAAAAAATGGTGTTTTCGTGACGCTGTGACACTTGTATTAATCAAGTATTATTTTGACTATATTGACATTCTTTGACTTTTTTACGTTTCTTATAAACCTAAGTATATTTAATATAATTGAAAAACATTTTTGTAAAATCATTTTACACAAGAAGCGAGCTATCGATACTGTGATGATACTGCGAAGCTGATACTGTGAAGTATCGAAAGCTCGCTTCTTATGTAAAATGATTTTACAAAAATGTTTCGACTATAACTCAATAAGGAAGAAAGTAAAGAGTTTCGTTATTTCATTTAAAGAAAGCCCATACTTCACTGATAATAGCACATTCTTCCTTAAGGTTTCAGAGCAAGTTATTTAGGAGCAAAATAATTTGGAAAATACGACTTCCAAACGTGTAACGTACAAGATTATACTTGTGAAATAGTTTGCAACATTTTCTTCCTCACGCAAGGCACTCACATGACCTCGAAGTATGTTTTCGTATACATTCGAATGCGCTCCACAAAATTACGTTAACGGTTTTGTCTTGTTTTGAAATAAAAACTTAATCAACGAAGTCTCGCGTTAGCTGGACAAGCCGTTAAGTTTTGGATACAAAGTTGCATCTTTCAAGCAGCAATATTTGCTGCGTTGTAAAATGTGGTAAATAACACTAGTGATCTTGCAATCAAACAATGAACGGTTGTATGAGATAATCATATCAAACTCAAGGATTGAAAACGTACCTTGCTAGCTTCGTAATACATGTCATAAATGCCTCTTTTTGATGGGAAAGATGTATAGAATAAGCAGAGAAATCCGCAGGAGATGTGTCAGACGGCTAATAACTTTTTTTCTTCTATAAGTTCAAACTTCTAATGACATGATTTAAAAGAGTGTGAATATGATGTCCTAGGTTTGGGTCCGTTCTCAGTCGTTGTTGTTACACAAACTAACGTTTTATTTAAGTTAGTATTAGCTTTCTTTTGACGACATTAACGGAGGATTCTTCCGGATATAGTTTATCTATTTTCGTTATCAAAGTTTGTTAGTGGAACAAGGATAATAAAAAAAGCGTGGTTTTGCTTACAGTGGAAAGACATTTGAAAATATTTGTTTTGTAAACATTATAAACGCTGTCACCCTTTAGAGAAAAGAATAATAACAGGAGTGAACGACTTAAGAGAATTTATTTCTATCTTACTAACATTATTATTTGTTCAGCATTGATTAGATGTCGCTGAGTTAATTTTACAGCTGTGTAGTAACATATTGCCAAAGAGAAGTACGATTGAGATAAAACTAATCCATAAGCAAATGCACCAATATAATTATGTTTTATTGATATTCTTTGAACATCATTGACAGTAAAGAGTTAAATATGGTCAACAGAAAGAGAAATAAGATGCACCTACTTGGATGCTTGATCAATTAATGAGGAATATTTTTGAATAAAATTATCTTCCTTAGTTAATTGTATAACTATGCGAATGTTTTGAATTGATTCTGTTGCTAACTGCGAAGATACGTGTTGTGAACGTTTTTCCATGAATAGCTGAAAAGCAATAATAAGATGAACTTACCACTGCAGCTTGTGAAAAAACCGTTTTTGTTTTTTCGTGTATTCGTTTCCTTCTATAAAACTCGATAAGACCAATAGCAAGAAATATCATTATAACAGCACATACAACTAATGTTAATTGCCAACTGAAAAAAAATCCAAATGCAAGACCAATACCAAATGTTGATATACACTCAATAATAACTCCAATAGGTATGCCTGCCATCTAAAAGTAAACAAGAAAAGAAAAAGTAGCAACGTACATGTGAGGGGATTGACATACATTTTGAATAGCTAAAGCATCAGTCGATAATTGTTGACACAACGCTCCAGCATGATTTTCTTCGCAATCAAACCAAGCGACATCTTGGTTTAACATACATTGTAATGATTGTATACGTAGTCGTTTCGTTAATGCACCGCCAGAAATTGAAAAAAATAAATTCTAAACAACCATAGAATCCTAGTGGATGTTTTCGTGTTGACGACCATATATGACTATTTAACGTTGAGTGTAGTACTTAGAATGAATGCTTTATATGTCAAATTATGTATCATTAACGCAACAGTCATCCATTCATAACACCTTTACGAAGAAAACACACAGATATCGACGCAAAACCGAGTGAAATTTTTTATTGTATAAAGCATAATTTCAATGATTTCTATTACTTTCACTTAAGGGCTCCGCTTAGAAAGTTGATTTTTTCATGGAAAAATGGAATTTTTGATTTTCGTTTGATTAGATAGATCGAACAATGAACTATAATATGAAGTAGACATTTTTTTAAAAGAAGTAAAATCTAATGGTTTTGTTTAAATTTTTATTGAGATGTCTACGTACGGTTAAAACCCAAAACCATAGAGTTTTGGGAACGGTTTTTGAAAATTGTGAATGCTTTTATTATTGTTATAGAATGTTAGTTATAGAATTTACAAGAAAAGTTCGAAATTAATTATCTTCCTGTAGCCTTGAGCTGACAAAGAACATGGAGGGCTTTTCTTGTAAGTTCTATAACTTTGCAAAGAAAGGTCATGTAGAGCTGGGAGATGTCTCATTTTGGTAAGAATTTCACGGACTACAAGTCTAACCAACTAAGAAAGCTTTTGAGGATTTTTCGGAGTTTCTGGAAAACTGGTTTTCCAGAAAACGGCTTTTTGCTAGCAATAAAAATCTCCACAGTCTGGTTCACGGATTTCATACTGGTACATTACACACAATAAGAAAAACACTAAAGAAAAAAAAAAATCAACGGGGGTATAGGTGCCGTCTCCTTTATTGAAGTGTCGAACTTCTTTAATCGCACACTCGTATATTTTCATCAACTCACTGAGTTAAAAAGTAAAGTAGAAACTGAATTACCTGAAATATTCTTGCTATTAAAAAGATAAACCCAATTAAAATTAAAAGTATAAAATAAAAGCGTACTTCTTGCCGTTGCTTAACAAGATCACATTCTTTATAAACCTAAAAGTAAGAATTATACTAAAACAAATATTAGAGAGATTGATTAGGAAAAGCAGAAAAGGTTACCGCGATAAGGGTGTTGTTAAGAAAGCGTCTGTGAGAAAACATCTAAGTTTTGATGTTTCGTAAAACGTCTTTTGGGAGAAAATATAAAAGTACTAAATTTTTAAACTAGGACAGAACGGTGGTAAGTTTTCAAAAACACTGAAATTTTTAGTTTGTCATTCTTTAACCTATTTTTTCCTGTTCAGTACGTGGAACTGAATCTAAAACACAAGTCTAAGCCCATTCGAACATAATATGGCCAGCAAAGTTTGAGCCCCAAGCAGAGGTAGAAATGCTCCGGTGATTTCTGCAAGCCTATCTAGTTTGTTCAGTTAAGAGCTGAAGTATCTTATATATTTTATTCTCACACTAAAATACCAGAAAAACAATGTGCGTATCAGTTTCTTTTAACTTTGTTCCGCTGTTAAGCAAATTCAGTTTTTTCAACTCACCGTGTACAGGCAGATAGTTTTTGGATAAAATTTTTACTTTTAATTTAAATTAAGTTTTGAAGCGTACATATATATATATAAGAGCTCTATAGAGTTTGATAGACCTATTGTAGAGATCTCCAGAGGATTTCTAGAAAGACCAAAGAAAACGACATTTTATCATGATTCTTGAAACAGTTATCCAGGAAAAGTTAAGAGAAAGCTTCTGAAGGTGATCAATTGTTTTGGACTCAAACCACTATGTTAATATAGATCCTAATGAGTAATGAAAATCCAAAATGGTTTGATTTATTCGTTTGCTGTGGTTGAGTTTCCAATTATTCTCATTTTCTTGGAACAACACGATCATAATAGTAACAACTTTATTTTGTGGTCAGTGAAGTACGATAACAGCTCATATTTATACCACTGTTACTAGATAGACTCTTGTTCTGCTAAAAAAGCTTGGCCACTTTCCACCTAATAGAGAAAAATAGTGGTACCACATACACCAGTGCACTTGGCATAAATGGCATTAAACATTTTAGTTTACTGCAACAAGACGGCAATATTCTTTACATCAACTGCCTCGGTCTAGAACTCAAAACAATTCATCTTCAGCCGCTAACGCGGCTACTCCAGTACTCCAAGTTCAAATCGCTTCTATTTCTATAAAACATACTTGATTATCTGTAGCTTTTGAAGCTGATCACAAATCTGATATCTGATATCAGATTAGAATTAAACTTCAAGGTCGCAAATTTTGTATTGAAAATTGTAGACAACTAGAGCTATAATGAGAAAAAGCTTAGCCTTTGAAATCCTTTAGTGGCTGAATTACACGAATTTCAGTGACACCGGCGCTCATTCTATGGAGGAAATGAAAATAATTCATAACTTTTAAAACAAGCCGCATCCGCACAAACCCTCTTAGACTTTTTCTTAGAATGATATCCCCTATATGTAGGCAAAATATCAACCAAAACGGCGTGAATCAGTTGGGGACTTTCCCTTGTTAGATCTCATTTTGTAGAGGACACTTCAGAATATTTTTTTCATGTAATTTCTTTGATTTTACCGACAAAATTTGTTTGTAAAAAAGCAACATCCATCGGACGCTTCTAAAAATCTCCCAAACAAAATGCAAGAACCATGTGAAAACTGTTAAGAAGCGTAGAAAGTCCTCATTCAAGAACTTTAGAAATGCTCATTCTCTGACGTAATGTCCTCGTTCTCTGATGTAAATATGTTTGTTAATAAAACATGACAACATAATTCATTCCCATGCAGATGAAAAAAGTCGTTCGAGGGGTGCGGCGAGTGCTCGAAAATCGGCCCTCGTCGAGGGCTCGACCCCTCGGAAAATGGCACTTCGGACCCTCGATATAATCTTTCGAGGGGTATCGATTTCGAGCCCTCGGATTTCAGATAGGTAGCGAGCCCTCGAGAAAAATTTCGAGCCGTCGAATAGAGATGTGCGAGACTTCCGAGCCCTCGTTGCCCAAAGGTGCGATTTTCGGGACTTCCGAGCCCTCGCTATTTCCGCTACTTCGAGGGGCGACGATGGCTCGGGAGTCCCCGGAAATCAGCTAGGGCTCGGAAATACCCCTCGAACGCTTATATCGAGGGTCCGAAGTGCCATTTTCCGAGGGGTAGAGCCCTCGGCGAAGGCCCATCGAAAGCACATTTCCGAGCACTCGAAGTACCCCTCGAACAACTGGTTGGGTTGTTGGCACTGGCACGAAGAAGGAAACAAGTTACGTATAAAACGCTACATAACAAAACCTATGCTACGTGAAATAACCCATTTTTAGCTATTTTCATCAAAAATTTAAATGCTTCATAACTCAGTCAAAATCCATCCACGCTACTTCAGAATATCTAGATGTCCACTATTTTATCTACAATATACCATAACGCTCAATAAATGTTTTAGAAACCAACAGAAAATGCTTCGATGTTTGGAAAGGTTTCTTAGCTACCTTCGGCGATAAGCGAGTTTTTCTATTGATGTTAAGTACAGGATCAGATTAAGCCAATAAAATACAGTATCTCTAGCTGTCAGAAAAATCTTCTTAAAAACTTTGATTTTTTATTAAGAACTCGTAGTTGAGTTACAATCTGTTCGTTGAAGCACTTTCTTGTTATCTGGAACTTGTCTCGTTTAGTTATTTTTCCTAATAAAAAATGTAACTCAGTGAAAACTTGCTTATTGATTCTCAGCTTTCCACACAAGTAACTGGATATGCTTTACAATCTGGTACTATCAGAATCCATTCAGAAACTTGGGATACATCCCTCGTAAGACGAAAAAATTACACTCCTCTATGTTTACTTGATCAACACCACTACACACTGTTACACAGTCCAATCTGTCATCAGTTTGAGCGGCAAGCAGAACTGTAGGGTACAGTGATAAAAGCTAATATGTAGTTTGAAAGACATTTTTAAGAAATGCTTTATCTAAAGGCTGTTCTAGGAAATCTCTAAATATCTCTAAAATGTGTCTATCTGTAAGTTTTAATCACAACTGTTTGATTTCGTTTTTAAGAAATTAGAAGAAAGTAATTTCTATGACTGATGAATAACTGAAAACACTCCTATCGGTACATCATTGCTTCCTTCATACCATAATTGTTTTACCAAATACAAACGCAAACACTGGAATTATCGCACCATTCAGAAAACAAGCCAAACAACCAAGTAGAATGTAAAACCATTCTGGACTATTTAATTTTAACATTGTTAAAAATACTGATGGTGATTGATCACTATAATTGTCGTCTGCCAGCTATTGTGTGATATTATTTTATTTCATTCATTGATAATGTATATTTATTTATTACACTTACTTGATTTCTATCATTTTTGTCGTCGCTTACTTCAAACTGTTTATCTTTATTGACAATTTCTTCCTTTATTTCGTCTTTTTCATCATTCGAATTATTTAATGATTCATTCTGAAAATTTTCCATTTGACTCAATTGATAAAATTTTCCATTTTGGTTTATTAATTGTTGGTAAGTGCCTTCTTCAATAATTTGTCCATTATCAATAACATAAATACGATCAACAGTTTTTAAAATTGATAATCGATGTGTGATCATGAGAGTCGTTCGACCTATAACACACCGATAATGAGCATGATAACAATTAAAAAATAAGAGACAATCATTACCTCTACATGCATTTTGCAATGCATCTTGAACTATTTTCTCATTATGTTTATCCAATGCACTTGTTGCTTCATCTAATAATAGAATTTTTGGATTTCTAATCAAAGCACGAGCTATTGTTATACGTTGTCTTTCGCCACCAGATAAATGTCTGCCATATTGTCCTACTAATGTTTCATATTTCTATTTTAACAAAAAAAGTGAAAAATGGTACCATAGTTTAGACTCATTCAATTATAATTTACTTTTGGTAATTTCATAATAAAGTCATGTGCATTTGCTAATTTTGCTGCTTGTTCAATATCATCACGTGAGACATTGCCATCAATAGAACCAAATCCAATATTTTCGTAGATTGTTGTATCAAATAAAACCTGTAATAGAAAAAAGTAGCTTCTAAAATTATAAGAATTTAGTAAGAAATATGTTTTGTCATCGAACCGGTTCTTGGCTAACAACACCTATTTGTTGTCTTAACCATTTTGTATTGTAACTCTGAATTTTTTGGTTGCCAATTTCAATTGTACCTGATGTTGCTTCGTAAAATCGTAGCAGAAGTTGAACGCAGGTGCTTTTACCTAAACGTCAAGCTATATGTTGTAGGCAAAAATGAAATTCAGGGCAGAACTCGGTAAAACTCCAACTTTAGTTTTGACTGGTCAAAACTTGAATCTAAAGTTTCAATTTAAATTAATTCTTAAATATCGTTAGACAAAATTAAAATTTGGTCCAATTAGGTCCAATTAGGATCCAGTCAGCTATTACGGGTTTCAAGGGAAGGAGAAGAGAGTGATGTCATTTGAAGTGGTTCGAGCATGATGAGAAGTCATTTTCTAAAACCATGTACAAATGAAAGAGATAAAGGGCTCCTTTATCTCTTTTATTTGTATATAATTACTCATTAGCACAAAATCGACTTTTTATACGGAGGACAGAATCGGTTCAAATTTTTTTTCTGAAGAGCTTATTATATGAATCGACAGTCAGCAAAGTATCTCTTGATTCAAATCACTTTTCGCATTTTGGCACGAAGAGTAGCGCGTTTGGGGTGGCGCCACTAATGTGTTATGAGCAACAAGTAAATCTTTATTTTTCTTATCTGTTTACTCTTTTTCGAATTTTTCTCTGTTAATACGTCGATTCTTCTCGTAACCTATGTAGTGAAATAAGTCTGTTGAATTAATTTAAATAATCAAACAGCACTCCAAGCAGGAGGTTTGGGCACCTTTTTTAAAATTTTATTTCTCTAAACATCTTCTAGTAGCAACGAAATAAAATCACAAAAACCATTCTGTGCACTAAAAACGCTTGATGGCAAACCTGCGGTAACTCATTAGGTGTAGTAAGGATATAAATTTAACTGTCAACTAAATATGAATCTAAGTGTCCACTTAAATAGTCAACTTCAACTGTAGAAAATAATACAGCAATAGTATACCCTAAGCGTATGTCCGTGTCCTCTTTCTTTTATAACAGTTGTTGTAGGACAGGGTCATAATCGTTTCTATGTACAATTTAACATAGTTTAGCCAGTGAAAAAAACAAACTTACTACACATATTTTAATTTCACAAACATCTATGTACAAATTTTATTTTTCTTGCTTCATATTTACATGCATCTTTAACATTCGTCCGTATTCATTCTGTATTCTTACATGCTCATCGTTTTGAGTGGTACTTAGTTGAACATTTCGCATTCAGTTTCTTATATATGCAACGGTTTGTCGCACATCCAGACTTACAATCACAGGTCGTTGTACTTGCACCACGAACAAACAGTTTACTAGCTTCAATAACAGTTATATCATTTAATTCAAAAATGTCCATATTTTTAATTTTGCCGAACAAACTGTTCTTAATTCAACAAGACTTTCAACGTTAAACTTTGTAATTAGTATTCCAAAATGACAAACAAGTTCAAAAACAAAATCATCATCTTGTTTCGCTTTCATATGAATAATACTTGGCAAAATCCGATCTGTATTAGTTCTACCTAGCGGATATTGCAAAAGTTTCTGGAAAAATATCGAGCATTATTTCTGCATGTTCCCGATGTACGAATGATTTAATTATTTTTCCGTTGGAAAGAGCAAAGTCTGAACTTCAAAGAACAAAGAAAATAAAATTTTTATAGTTGAATTTGAAAGAGAAAAAATCTAAATACGAAAGGTCAACCAAAAGACTCTTCCAATGATGTGTTTCTCTCGACAAAGGAATTTTTTCACTATAACAGAGCAAGTTTGAAATTATGTAATTATAGAAACTAGAAGTGTTTTTATTGCTCTTTCAAATCGGATGTAATACATTATCTTTCAAACTACTTTTCAATTATAGATTCGTAAGCTTTCTATTTGTTTCGGAAAAAGAATTGATTAGATTTAAATAATAAATTTTCATATATCAAATAAACTTTTGTGCTGTTAATAAAACTCATTTTCTGAAACAGCATTCAATTTACCATTCAACTTACATTAGTTTTAATTTTAGTGAGATATCTTGAGCCATGAATAACAAATTTTCTCAGTGTTGTACCTTTCGCATGAAAAGCAGAGTATTCTATCGAAACTGAGCTTTAAAATGCGTTTTTCTTACTATTAAGGAGTTAATGCGAAGCTTTTGACAGTAGATGGATCGATACAGTTTTGCGCAGGCGACATTCTCATCTATTAGTTTTCAAAAAAATTTTCTGTTCAGGGTGCAGCGACAACTTAAAGAAAAAACTGCGTTGCAGCAGCTTTTTGAGTGACCTTTCGTATTTTGATTTTTTTTTCTCTCAAACTCAACTATAAAAAATTTTATTTTCCTTGTTCGTTAAACTTCAGACTTTGCTCTTTCTAACGGAAAAATAAATCACTCGTGCAACGGGAACATGCAGAAATAATGCTCGACATTTTTCAAAGAACTTTTACAACACTCGTTACATCATGAATTTTAGTACCAACACAGTATCTTTGATTAAATGTATCTGCCCAATTTTGCCAAAATTTTGCCGTAGTTACGTAATTCTCGGTTGCTTGTTTACGTACTGATTCATATCTAGACGATTGTACAGAAGAGAGCAAAGAACTCGATGAGGATGGAATATTAACAGTAAATAAAGTCGGGAGAACAACAGCTGATGGTCGAGAAGCATCACAAATTAGATTAACAGCAATTTCTGTAGAAGGTAACAGAGAAACAGCTTCAACGCATGGCTCTAGGAGAGAATTTAGGTCATCAAGAACATTAGGATCACGAATAGCTTCAGATAAAGGTACAACAAGAAGAGAATTAACTGAAATTAATACAGAAGATGGTGTCAACAAAATATGCGGAACATTTTCAGAAGGTGATTTTGAAGAATTAAAAAAAATGAGATTATCGATAGAAGATGAAGTAGTGATAGGAGTGAGTGGATTAAGCAGTATAAACATCCTGTTTGAAACAGAGTTAGATGAAAGGTTGAAGAAAGAGTTAGATGTATTGCAGCAGATATAGTATCATCTAATTTTCAATAAAGTGAAAAACGATATCCCGATTGTGATGAATCTCTTTCGTTTGTACATGGTTTTAGAAAATGACTTCTCATCATGCTCGAACCACTTCAAATGACATCACTCTCTTCTCCTTCCCTTGAAACCCGTAATAGCTGACTGGATCCTAATTGAAGTCAGGAATAATTTTAATTTTGTCTAACGATATTTAAGAAAAAAAACTTAAATTGAAACTTTAGATTCAAGTTTTGACCAGTCAAAACTAAAGCAGATGTTTTGTCCACGTAAATTTAAAATTTGCCTAAACAAGACTTAAATTTGACTTTTATTTAGGATAACCTTAGGCAAAACTGAAATTTGAGTTTTTGCCTAGACAAATTTAAAATTTATCTGAATTACATTTTTGTCTACAACATATCTCAGTTTTAAGATTTCTATAGTGATACAGAGAAATGTTGACTTATTCAGAAATCATCAAACTTAATATACTTTTAAGAAGTAAAACTATCGTGAGTCAGTTTCCTCTTAAACTATAAAATTATAAACTATGAAAAACTCTTTTAAGTATAGTATACCACAACCACTTTGACCGACGAGTGCAACAGTTTGACCCTGCCGAATTGAAAAACTGAAATTCCGCAAAACATCAATGCTTGATCGTGTTGGATACGAAAATTGAACATTGACAAAACTAATATTGGCATTTAAGCTAACATTATTGTTCAACGGAAACGGCACGATATTTGGTTGCTAAAAGAACAATGAGAAAGTTATGTATAAAATTCTTTCAACTGCAGTCTAGAAAATCTTACTTCTTGTTCTTCTTGTGCTAATATTTGCCAAACATCTGTGGCTGCACCACGTGCTTCATCAATCGTTTGAAGATGTTGGAATAATCCACGCAGACTGACCATTCCTTGTGTAACTGCAGTTAGTGTCTGTGTTTAAGAAATACAAAAACGAATCGGTTATTTTCTATAGTAGAAGGATTTCAAACTATACATCTTACACGGTAGTATGCACCCAGACGGACATTTAATAAAAAGTTTAAAGTGCACTTTTTGTAGACTCCGTTAGGATAAATCCGTAGTTACATTCGCGCTTTATTCTTACCACAATTATTCCGCGGCCGCGAGGTTTGCGCGTTCTTCAAAAAACTGGCGATCGCACAGCGAAAATTCTCCCGCGTGGCCTTCGCGATTGAGACGAAGCAGATATTTGTCGTTCGATGTTTTTAATTTCGTTTATGAGTATATCCCACGTGTATTTTGTCCTATTTAAATTTCTAACGAAGAAAAACATGCATCATATAAACGCATATATATACTTGTCTAACATTTTTAAAAGTGAAAGATTTTACATAGTACACCATAGACTTATATGGCAACCACGTGTGTGATGATGTTACAAAGCTCTTCTTCTCATTTCAAAAGAGACGGAAAAGCAGTATCTGTTATATCAGACACTTATTTCTTACTTCTACTTAGCTCACATCTGCTCTTTTAAGTTTCTCAAAGCAGAATTAATTCAAAGAACAAAAGTAACTAATTTGCAAAGTAAGTACACAGTAGTTTCAGTGAGTGACAGAATATAAATTCCTAAATATAAATTTTGCTGTCGCACAGTTTCTTCAGACATTATATGTAGATTAAAAAACTCTTCTTTCTCAAAAAATGCACTGTTTATAAGGACTTTTTCTATGTTCTTTCTCTTAATCGATGTTTACTGTGCAAATATCTCAAAATAAACATGCATAGAAGTGAGAAATGATCAAAGGTTGAGTTGATGTTTTTATAACAATTAATTGTGAATATCCTCGGTGTAAGATCGCTTTGCTGTTAGTGACTCTCAGAATATAGTTCAGTTTTCAATCAGTTCGGTTCTGTTTGAAGCAAACAGAGGATTGGGGCTCAGCCATTCTGTCTCATTCACAGAATATTAGATTGAATCTAACAGCGAACTGATCTTAGCGATAATATCTACGGGTATACATTCTCTGACAGTTCAAGCGTGAATGTTTTCTTCACATACTCTCTAAAAAAATAGACATTTTAAAAAACCTAAAAAGGGTTCAGGAAACTGCAAATATACGGAACCCTTTAAAAGGTTTAGTAAGGGGTTTTTGACCTGTACTAAACCGTTTTCAGATTTCAGTTGCAAATGGAATATCTATTTTTCCAAGATATGATACAATCTACAGCAGTTTTAAGTCACTTTAATTCATTATTATACATAATGTGATGTTTCGAAATACAGACTTAAAACTGCTGTAAATTGTATCATATTTTACTCAAACTTTGCCTGAGCAAAAACAAAATTATTTTTCCAAGGATAGTTTCTTTAATTGAAATGATATTATGTTGCTTATAATTTGGGCATTTAACGATTCTATTTTTATATATAGAAAGGAAAAACGAATGGTTGTAATAATGGGAGAAAAATTGAACTAAGGGAGCTTTTTCTGAAAGAACAATACTTACTTCTTTATGTGGGCTAAAATGAGAAGCAGGAAAAGATTTTGCTTCATCGGTTGTAAGGCAGACTTCATAAAAGGATTTGTATCTCTTATGGGTCTTGAGTCTGGCAAATTACAAAGAAAAGCACATAGACCAGAAAAGAGTTAAAGTGTATAACAGAAAAAGAGGACTATTTAAGTTGAGAGGCTACACATATGACGTTGTCTGTTTTTTCATTTGTTATGATATAATTCATAAACTTGATATAATTTTAAAAATTTTGAATGAGAAACTTAAGTGCTTACACACAATAAAACGGCGTACAGTCACTATGTCTGATCGGCTAAGGCCTAAAAAGAGTAAAACAAATGATATCTATATTGACTAAAAAATACCAGCATATGCGAACAAAATCAAAATAGCCTGACGTAAATGCAAAAAAACAACCATCGTACTACATCTATCCCAGTGAGTTAACCGAATACTCAATAGAACAACGTAAAAAGTAAATATTGGAGAAAAATATAGTGTTAAAACAAATACGCGTGGTTGCATAGTATCTGCCTTTATTGTTTAAACGAAAGTGGTTTTAATTTAAAAAAACAATCAGATTGTGAAAAGAATAAGCTAAAAGGGGAAAACACAAGTACAAAAGAAAGCGTCTGTTTTTAAGGAAACGTCTTGGACATACTTGTGCGTTTTCTCCACGAAAATAAGTGAAAAATAATTGTTGTGAAAAATGCTTCCCAGCTGAGATAAACAAGATTTATTTTTAGCAGAGAAAATTGTTTACGACGATCGTATACGACTGAACATAAAAGATCGCAGTATCGTTTCAGAAGATTCTCGCTCAGCAAAAAGAAACTTTTCACAAAAGTTTAGTGCTCTTGCTTTCAATTCTATATCTGGAAAAACGAAACAGCAAAATAAAAAGAATAAACGGTCATTCGCACAGGACATCAGCAAGCAAAGCACGCTCTCAAATAAAGGGTTCTGTAAGGCCTTTCTCTCTCACAGGAAAAGCTTTTACATACTGACACAAAACAGCATCTGTTATCAGGCCCATAATGCTGATTGGAACCAATGCCACTGAACTAAAAATGCATGTGTGATAAAAAAAAGCGCTATATATAGTGCGCATTTTTTTCTAAAAAGTGTAACAAGAAGCGATGTTGACAAATGATATGCAACTGACCATACATGACTATATACACAAACAATAAAGGGAAAACAGAGATATTACATCATCATTAGGTGAAATGCTGATACAGACGAAGACTGAATACTGAAAATACTAATGTTTCGTCTGAAACGATAATAAACACGTCGATAACTACAATGTGTACATATAAAAAGATGGCGTCATCGATCGAGAAAAGAAGACGAATATATTTCAGTCATATTAAGTACATCGATATATTTACGAATATATTTCAGTCATAATAAGTGCATCCTCTATAATGTCACTAAAACATATAGGATGTTAAACATTCGAACTGAAATTCTTTGGAAGAAAATTTTAGATTTAAATAAACTTCAAATAACATTTCATTTCCCCATATTTGTTTATTATGCTCAAGCACAGCTTTTGAGATCTTCGATGAGGGCACCACTAACAGACTGTGCTGGAGTACACGGGAGTTGCAGTTTGTGAGAGAATAGGGACGTATAAACGCTTTTTGTTTTACTCTTGTACAGTTGGAATTTTTCTTCAGGCGCGTTGGATATATCAGAACGAGTCTTCTTTCTCAGAGAATGTACTACATCAAAAATGCTTCCTTCATTGTGAAAAACACTAATTGAAACTGTTAAAAAAACTGTTTTCGACTAGGGCTGTGACAGTTACCAGTTACCGTTACCACCATTACTCGGTAACGGTAACTGCTGAACAGTTCCCGTTCCTGGTAACGGTAACGGATCAGCAGTTACCGTACAAGTAACGGTAACGACCAGTTACAAGTAATGGTAACGGTAACGACCAGTTACAAGTAATGGTAACTATTTAGTATATCTTTCAAGAGTCAAATCTCTTAATATCTAGGTATCCAGGGTGAGGGTGTTTCACCCTGTTACCGTTACAAAGAACGGTAACCGACCAGCAATTACAGTTACTGTAACGATAATGGTAACTGTCACAGCCCTATTTTCGACATCAGTATTTTCAGTATGCAATATACGTCAGTATCAGTATTTCAGTAAAATAAAGCAGTTATAAACTGCAAAAAGTTCGAATATAAAAGTGGTCTTCACACCACTTTCAAAAATAAGTGTCTTGTATAACAGACACTGCTTTTTCGTCTCAGCTAAAATAATAAGGAAAACGTCGATATGTACAACGTGTGTATATAAGAAAAAAAAATGGCGTCGTCGACAGCAAATAAAAAAATGACAAGAAAAGAAAGTACTATATGTGAAATATATTCGTCTTCTTCGTCTATGCTTCGATATATGCTCACATTATCTGCGCTATAATAGTCTTTTTTGCTAGTCGCAATACTTTCTGTACGTTATCTAGTACGGTGACTCCAGCGAACATGTGCAGGCACATATGCCATATATGTGTAAGGAAGTCAAACACGATCGGGCACATGTCCAGCAAATCTGTCGTGATCGATACCTATAGGAAAAGTAAACTCCTTGCAAAATACCCCTTTTTTTCAAGTAATTGTGCTCGCATATGCATACGCATGTGCCGTACATGCCAGTGCACGTATCCATTAGGTCCGTCATGGTTGACAACCTATAGGAAAGTATTAACAAATCATTTAACGCTCAAATAGTTTTTCAGTAAAACGCATTTGACAAAATCAAATCTTATTTAATGTTTTTCTGACTGTTTTTTAGCTTCACAGCTTTCGCCACGCGCAGGAATTCTCAATAACCACACATCGGAAAAAGATAGTTTTCTTTTGATTTGTAGATAACACCACCGCTAGAACTCGACAGAGTTCGATTTTTAAATTATGCTTCGTTTTTATAAAAATGAGGATTTCTTAGAAGCCTTCCAAGGATTTTTCGAATTTTAAAGTTCTATTAAGCATCAGAAATCAGTAAATGAGAAACTCAAAAATCGAGCTCTGTCAGTTGCAGGTGACACCATAAAAAAGTTTCGTTACCACACTTTGATATCATCAACACTGTGTGAAAGTTCGGTTCAGATCGAATTTACCTTGGGCCAGAAAGGTTTCTGACCCGTAGGGGCATTAAAGCAATTTTTCGATGTCATATATCTACCATATTTTGTGCTCTGAAAGTTATCCACTGCTGGAAGTACAAGCGTCAAAGGTCCTATTGACTTCTTATGAGAAAAGTGACAAATCAGTAACTTCTGATAATGCTTGGTAGTCTCAGAATGAGAGCCACTGAATTTTTCCCAAGCAAATGTTGCCATTAGATTCAGATCTCTCAGCGCTTTCTATCGAAAGTATTCAGAAAACAGTAGGATGCATTTACTTTTG